GGTCTGTATATAAAATGAAAACAATTCTACAATAGTAACTGTATGGAATCGATTTAAAACTGTCTGTATATATAATGGACACGATTCTACAATAGTTACTGTATGGAACCTATTTGAAACGGTCTGTATATATAATGGACGCGATTCTACAATAGCTACTGTATGGAACCTATTTGAAACGGTCTGTATATATAATGGACGCGATTCTACATTAGTTACTGTGTGGAACCTATTTGAAACGGTCTGTATATATAATGGACGCGATTCTACAATAGTTACTGTATGGAACCTATTTGAAACGGTCTGTATATATAATGGACGCAATTCTACAATAGTTACTGTGTGGAACCTATTTGAAACGGTCTGTATATATAATGGACGCGATTCTACAATAGTTACTGTATGGAACCTATTTGAAACGGTCTGTATATATAATGAACGCAATTCTACAATAGTTACTGTGTGGAACCAATTTGAAACGGTCTGTAAATATAATGGACGCAATTCTACAATAGTTACTGTATGGAACCTATTTGAAACGGTCTGTATATATAATGAACGCGATTCTACAATAGTTACTGTTTGGAACTGATTTGAAAGGATATTTCATATCAAGTGATACATAAATTCATTAAATATTTGCGTGTTATAACAAAACGGCTTGTAAAATACTCTGCCCAACACAACAGAATTACTAATACGCAGACTCATGTCGTTAAGCAGACAGTTGATAAACAGACGATAAAGAGAATAGTGGCATTCCACTACGATATGGATTAACCTTAAAGCGAACAAGATCAGATATGTATACAACTGCACGTGTTTTGAATTATGTTCTAAAGCCGACACGTGCATTTTAGAATGAGTGGTCAAATCTCACATGAATTCAAAACAATATTTTACGTAAACACAAGGGAAAATACACGTGTGACAAAATCACTCGTTTGGTGGCCTCAAACAGATGCTCTAAACAGTGTATGTCAAACTCATTAGAGGATATTGTCGAATTATGAAAAATACATACAATGTGAATTGTTTTTTTTTTTTTTTTTTTGTTACAAGTCTAATCTTGCTTCTGTGAAGGTCTCCCTGTAGAGTGTTCCTAATAACATCCATTTGATGAAGTACATGTAAATCTACACTGTAACAGTAATACTACCGGAAATATCGGTTGCTAGACCTCATATTGAACATTGGTTTGAATTTGGGGCTTTCACGCATTGCTGAAAGTTCATTTTTGTCTCAAACTAAATTGTATTTCAAAGTGTTTATATCATCTTTATTATGTGTGTTTTAAAGAATTGGAGATCGTATTGTAAAACGAATATTGGTGGGGAAGTCTGTATGAAAACAGACCAAGTAAATTACCAAAAAAAAAGAGAGACAATTACTCGATGCCTTGCGCATTAAAACAAACCAAAACAGACAAAACCATTACCACACGAACTTTGAAAAACTGTCGCTATCCCAACTGGTATCTAACGTTACACATTCAAACGAAAAGCAGTCTTTTTGAACGATTTCATAATTTCATTTGAAACTAGAAAATAGCTTTTCTCATCCCACTGGATCTTTATGAAATATAGTTTTGAAATATAAATCATCCCATAATTGCAATTACAACAGAAATACCAGGGTCTCACTCTGTTCAGTCAATCCGAAAATGTATGTACAGGCCTTTTCGGTAGAAAAAAGTCTCGGGTGTAAAAGTGCGTAAAACATGGTTGTTCCCCGGCCAACCAATCGTACCATGAATTGCCCATTCTTCACTTTAATGTTCACCTTGAGGGCTGCACCTTCATAATATCGAAGTTTGATATGAAACATGGGGATAAATTGACATTAAAACAGCTTAAATCAAGACATATCCCGAGAAATCTAGTCACGAATTCGTCAAAATATCCCAGATAAACATACCAACACACGCACCAGCAAATATTCAATAGCTGAGTACAACTATAACACTGAGAATAAACCGACAACGTCAAAATAATTGCCAACGTGTGCTATGCTTCTATTATTGTACACCTCACGCTTCAGAATACTATTTTTCTTAAGGGCATAACACACGGTACTTTGGTTTAATTAAAACAAAAGACGTGTTCCAGTCATCTGGTTATAGGAACTAGGATGCACTACAGCAAATGTCAGATTCGTGCTGCTGGCTATGTTTTTGTGAATTAGGAGTGTTCTGTCCCCAGACGTTTGAATTGTTACGAACATGACTTCCACTTTCCAACCTTGCCTGATACACTCCCTAACACCGTCAATTTACCTCGTTAAATTATGATGCTAATAGTGTTGTGCTCAGTTAAATGCCATGCAGTTAAGAGGTAATAGCCATTGCAATGGACCTCGAGGGATAGTCCCATGGAATCCACACCTAACGAAACGTGCTAATGAAGTCATGTAATTGACGTCAGAGATTTATATGATAAACTATCTGGGATATAAAATGAAAAAAATAAACACAATCAATTTATGTTTTAATTTTGTTTATGTCTATGTTTTTCATATGTTGAAATTCAAACTTAGTCGGACTTGGAGTATCAGAAATCCTGTAATTTGTCATTTAAATATGCATTTCACAAATACACTAAATTTGTACAGGTGAAACGTGTGGAACTCCAATGAATTTCGGTTTTGAGTATCTGAAATGGTATTTTCAAGGGAAAGAGAACAAAAACTAGTTGTATTTCCATTTTCCATTTTTAATTGCATTGTAAATTTTAGATAATGTATCAGATGTCATCAGAATTTACATATATAGAATGTTATATCCAAAGTCTGAATGTCGTGAATGATGATTTAATGGGGGTATATTTGAGTTATAACGGGGTATCTGAGGTATACACTATCCATTGTAAATACAGTTTGGGATATATAAGGTGTACACTATGCAATGTAAATACAGTGTGGGGTATATGAGGTATACATTATCCAATACAAATACAGTGTGGGGGTATATGGGGTATACACTATCCAATGTAAATACAGTGTAATGAAGTAACGTGATGTAATTTGTTATTGCAGACGTTTTTGTTTTAGCTTTAACGTGTCATTTGGATGCAATTATAGTCGCTATGGTAACAAGTGATCTATTCATCAAACATATTGCCTTTATATGAACTATAATTACCTTCAAAAAATTTATATTAACATTACCAACTACCTTAACTTAAATTAAACATCCGGCTATATGGAGGAAAAAAATGTTCTTACATGTATACGATGGAGTTAATTGATATTAGAAAGAGCCTAAACATTGGATAGCGTGAAAGTGTATTATGGCGCCATAATACAATTGTTTCACTTGCAATCATTGTTTCAATTGTTTCGTCATCACGATTGTCGTATTACTATTGTTGTAATGGGACAGTGGCGGGAAATTGTAAGTAGGTTCTTCTGTAATTTAAGAAAAGCTCGGTACATCCACGAAGAATAATACCAAGAAATTTAGTCATGACTTGTTTTAATTGAAATTAACATAATAGATGATTAGATCGTGTCTTTTTCGACAGATTGATAATTAATTGTTGTTTATGAAATAAGTAAACAAATCTATGCAGCATTATATGGATTTTGCGATTTTTATTCATATCAAACTAAGTATATAAAATTCCATCTGTACACTTCCTTTTGATTTCCCATCACCAACCCATCATTAATATTATCATGATGAAACAGATGAAATAAAAATTGAAAGTGATGTTGTTGTATTGTGGAGCCACAATACACGCTATTTCAAATATGAATAGGATTGAACAAGGTTTACATTGCAGGTAACGTCGATGAAGCAGAAGTCGCTTATTTTTCCGGATCACCTTGGTCTAATTTTCCTTGTACTCTTTCATGAGTCTCCTTGAAAATCTTTCATCTGCTCATACTTTGCCATAGCTTTATGAATCTGAGTTTGGATTATGATCATGTTGCAATGTTGGTATTCTTTACTACGTACTTTTAGTGTCAACACCAAGAACTAACTGCTTCAGTTAATTCGATATTACACGTATACCCTGTTGTACATAGCAACATGATAAGCAATTTTTCTTGAATACATGTAATACAAAATGAATGACGTAAAAAGATGAATATTATCAATGAAATCGTAACTCAAAATCGGCGAAAAAAGGACGAAATATTAACGACTAAGATAATTACCAGAAGAGACAAAAACACAAGAATGATAAGACAATGTATTCCCAAAGGGTAAACATCTTCTACTTAATTGACGACACCCATCAAGTAAACCTTTATCAGTCTGAGCATTGGTACATTATGTTATACAAAACGTAGTAAAGTTTTGCTAAATGTCGTAAAGTTAGATGGAACTGCACGTTATTTGCCAGTTTGGTATTGGAAATCATCTGATTTTCAGTATTTAAGGTGAAGATGTTTATGAAGTGCTATCTCATAAATACTGATAAAACACTAAAAGGCCTTTAATACAATATTTGACCGTAATTGTATTTCCCTAGCTTTTGTAAAATAAAATCTGTAATTAAAGTGAATTTATATTGATTACAATCGTGGCCCTTGTGTTTGATCATGCTATGGATTTCCGTTACTAAAGTTCGTGGCATTTTCAAACTGACATGAGGAAACATTAATAATATCTCTCAAAACCAAGCCATTTTGTTCTTTGATATCAAAACCTATTTCATGGCCAAATGCAATAATGAAATATCCAGCAAGGGACCTCTATGATTCATTCGTATAGTAATATCATTTGTCATTATTTCCCTAGCACTGTTGATGCTGCTGGAATATTCACCAATATCAAAACGCATGGGTTGGAACAGAACACTGTATTGGGTGTAGTATTACGTATCAGGCTACCTTATAATCTGAACAATATAATAACAAACATCTAGTCAGTCCACCATAATATAACGTTGCGTCACCATACAAGTACTTGATTTATAAAATCGATACTAGATGACAAGAACGCAAAAAGTTCATAGCTGTGTATTTGGTATACCAATATGCCATTGTTTCAGGTTGAGGGAACAACGGTGGAAACGAATACTATCACAAATAAATATGGGTTCCTTTACAAAGAAGGTCGATCAGGGAAGGATATTGAGGTCATCAGCACAGCTCTGACGCTAAGGTAATTTTGACCACTTTTATATCTAGGGTCGATGTTGAAGCGTTCAGGAACAACCAGTTTCTCCATGTGCACTATTATACTTGCCGACATAAAAAAGTCAGACCATAAAAGAAATACAATTGCGATTCTAAGTAGAAAATCTACAGAAAGCATTTCCTGCCTGAGATATGACGACGCGAAGGACTGTCTAATATATATCCATAATGTTGACTTTTGAAAGGGAAATGAAATTGACATTGAAATGGAAGTGTAATGATTTTTCTGCCGTCGATTTTTCATTGAGTAAATGCAGATATAGGAAAATGACATTCCATTTGGCCGGGTCCGATATGCATGCCCGTTCCTCGATTTGCAGCCGAGATTTCGGGCTCTTTGGCATGACAAGAAGAGAAAATCTGTAGTCACGTTGATGAAAACTGCTGATAATGTCAAATCAGCGACTATATCGGAAATAGTTATCAATACATGTGAGTTGTACTTACACTGCTGGCAAATATTGCTAAGATTTACTATTCTTATGCCCTGTTTGCCCTTAGACACATTGATGAAGAGTATGAAATAGTCTTTACCCATTCAATTCAATATAGAAATGAATCATTGTACACGTTTCCGCGAATTCTAAATGATTTGCATTTCAAAAAGCAATCGAAATTAGTGATGTAGTTGGAAAAGCACGACGTTATTATATAAAAAAATTAACAAAAAAATCCATTTTCATCGATATTTGTCGCCTGGTGTCTTTACATTTTATATTTCCAACATTTCCTTTGAACATTCCAAGTAAAACTATCAAACCAATAAATGTTCTTAAATCTGCAAGAGTGCGTGTTTATTGAATTGTTTTTACCTAAATAATAAGCGAACAGAAATCTGGATTGCTGCACATTGGGTATTTTTTTTTATCTATACCTGCTGTCAATACATCCACATTGCTACAAATTGTACAACTGATTCAAACGCATTGTTTTCCTCATGAAAACTGTTAATGCCAACTTTTATTGGCTGTTGTGTAATCAGATCATCACAGGTCCTAGGAGTATCATCCATTGTATTCAAATAGGATGTTTGCCTTGAGAAGAATTATTGTATAGGCTGCATCTAAAAACAGTGCCCGTCATAGAATAACTAAAAACACAAAATAGGAAAAGTTATTCCACCTGTTTAACAGATCTAATCGGTAATTTGTAGAATTCAAATTAATCAAAAAGCTGGATATTGTAGAAGTGTACATAGAAAACGATTGGTGAAAGCACCTGATCGTTCTCCAGGGTACAGATTAGTGATTCTTTCGTAGAATTGATGTTATTCTAAACCATTATCGTAACATGAGAATTTAATCAAATGTTTAAATGAATTCGAACTTTACGTATACAAAACATGTACACTTTCTTATTCTGTTCCTTAGAACAGATTACACGGAAATGTTTATATTCACCCAAACTCATTATGGTTTTCTGTCGATTTCAGCTAATGTACAAAAGTCGTGTGTAGTATAGCAAAATACCTGTTACAAAACCGAAAATAACACGCAGTAAAAATACGTGTAAATTCGAATAGTTACATGATGTAATGTAGAGTTAGAGTGCGGCCAACCCTACCAGAGAGTTCTTTTCTCTCTCTCTGTAAGCCTATCGCATGTGTAACGCGACACATAGTATCGGATATCGGATTTCAGCTTCCTTGTCTATTTCATAAAAGCTTTGATTTCTATTTAAATCACATTGATATCCATGCCGGCCTGCTGCTGTGAGTGTCCTTGTTAATTATTTAGTAGTAACTGCCTTACGAAGTTTGCAGTATGGCGTACGAGCTTTCGGATCTGGATATTGGCAATAGTTCTGTCTACAGATATTTTGGTGATCGTGCTCAAACCATTTCCTACATGTTCTTTTATTGTCGTTCCTTTATTGATTACATAATTACATATCGGGTCACAACGATCTCGAACGGTAAATTTCTTATTACAAAAAGTATGTATATATGTTCCGCTATATGATGTCGATTATACTTCATAAGTAGTCATATTTCAGGAATTTAGGACAGTTCTAGAAAATTTCAGATTTACAGTGGTAAATGCATCTTCTCCCTATTGAAATCAATGTCAGACATCTGACAGCTGTTTCCCTGATGTCATAAGCACTGAAGGAACTTCTTGCTGTGGTCCTAGTACTTCTTTAAAAGTGGCATTGAAGCCAATAAACATCACTAACAAAAATGTATAGATACTGAAGGAATTATGTTGAAAAATAATGCAATATGTCCGCTAAAAGTCAAACCCTTGAATAGCAGCTCACAACTTATCAATCAGTCCACATATATGACCTTCGACACAAGATTGTAGTCATTCCCCTTGTCCTTATCGTTGGTTTGCCTCTAAACCCAGATCACCATTTACATGTATATAGACCAGATAGAAACCGGGTCATATAGTCAATAATTTAAGATATAATAAAATCTTGTTGACAAAATATCAGAAATAATATGTACAAATCAAAATGAAATATTTAATCAGATATTCGTCTTCTTTTCAATCTACGTTTTCTTTATAAGTATATTATATAATGTACCTTTCAGTACCTTTTAATGGGGAAAGATCGACATTTTCTTTCTAGATTTTTAAATATGTAGATATTTTAAATATCCCAAATTTTTCGGGTAAGGAGAGTCCCGGTTGATGGCCCTGAGTTTTCATTCTTGGAAGTAGGAATCCTATCACTAAATAAATATTTTCGTCTGAGTGGTGGCCCGTTGTATCTCGTACTTTATCAGAAGACTGCTGTCTATGCCAGATTACGGTGTAAGAGTAACACAGCGACCATGAAATGGTTAGGACTATTAGTCACCTTTGTTACATACTATGCATTTGTCAATGCAGATTTCGAAGCAGACGTGGACCATGTTATTCAACAGGTAACTATTCTTTGTATGGTTAAACCTTTCACGTTGCCTTTCTTTCTGTTGTATCACACGTTCCTGTTTTTCATATAACATTTGCTTTCACATTGTTAACGTTTATTTATAACCATGTCCCATAGTGTATGTACTGGATGGGATGTTGTTATTATGAACCAAAAGAAATTAGATCTTTATCTATATCGGTGAGTGTGTCAAAAATTCAGAGCTTAACGGTTTAATTTTGAATAGACATGTAAAAAATGTGTCACATACAGGATCAAAGTCAAAGTTCGATTCCTAAAACAACAGAAACAGATATGGCTATGTAAGTACCACAAAGATGAATGGATACGTTTTTACGTCGATAAAACGTCCGTGAATCTGATATCCAGCCTTAAATACGCATGATACAATGTATATTGAATAGTTTGTATTTACAAATTTAACTCTGAACGTTTTCGTCAAAGTTTTGGTCCATATAAAATTTATCATGAACAGTCTATATCGGATAGTTGTAACGATCGAAAAGCTTGCATTTGATGATCAACATCAATAATTTGCACCTATCCATTGCGATAGAAGTGACATTAAAAGCTACACTGTATTTGGAATTTCTCTTAATTGCTGCAGTGGTCACTTTGAGTATTTTTGGGATATCAATAAGAATTGTAAACATCGTGGTATTGTGGAGCAATGCCTTAATTAATATTCTATCGTGGTAGTTATTCTTAGGCAGATTATTCAAATTGCGTGACGAATAAAGAAATTTCAAACACAGAACAAAGGTATGTTTTAAAAACGAATCAGTGTCTTTTCAGGCTTAATCCATAGAATCCGGTGGGATAAAGCGTTGATAATCTTTATAGAATGTAAACATTGTCAGTGATTTTGGAACTCAAGTACTGGAGTCATGGACTCATACTTTTCCTGTGGGATTTGCTAAAACCCATTATACCTCTTTGTAACTGGACCCATCAAGTTTTGGAAATAATGCTCTGGACTAACCAGACAAAAATCTATAAAATAAAAAAACAACTAGTACAATATATTGCAGACAACATATTGCTTAAGATAAGTTACGTTATAAAAGTTGCATTGCTAATATGTGCCGTTTAAACTAACCGTCAAAAATGTTTTAGATATTTACGACAATAAGGATAAGCTCGGTGAATTTCATTTTAGTAGTTTCTCTTCGTTGCCAAAGTGGACGAGGTTTGTAGTTCTAATGAAGTTATCTTTATATACGGTGAACATAGCAGATAAGTAAATATCGAGGGTATTTTCCGGAAATTCAGAGCAAAAAATATGTACAGATATGTATTTATTACTGATCTGGAAATTACAAACCACCACAAGTACGGTATAGTCTATTAAGAGTCATTAGATACACATTGAAAAAATTTAAGAGACAAGGCTGATCAAAGTATAATGGGTGTTATAGTTTTACAATCAAATTGATTGTGTTTCTAATGAAACAAAGAACTACATCTGATCGTAGCCATTCCATTCGAATGTTTACGACCTCAGTTGCTTCTTAGTTTAATTATCTAACAAGTCTTTGGATATCACCATGCCTCAATCGTGTCCAATATCCAGTTCGAGGTGTTATAAAAGCTTTACATCTGAGCCGTACGTCTCGTGTCTTGTCCCTGTAGGCCCACAGATGTCGTCATAATAACCCGGGACTGGCAGTCGCCGTCGTCAAAAATGGCAAAGTAATACTAGCGAAAGGTTATGGTGTGAGTGACGTGTCAACCGGAAGTCCCACAACGAACACCACCATCTTTGGAATAGCGTCCCTCAGCAAGGCATTCGCAGCCACATTATTAATGAAACAGCTTGGACCAAACAAGTAAGAGCAATCAGATAGCGTTGTAGCACTCATTCGGTCATTGTTATGGGCCGTCTTTCAATGTTAGATCTTCTGTGACGGGAAGAGATAGAACAGGGATGTGAATGGGAAAGCAACGTTATATGAATTGCTTCGGTTTGAGCACATCATTGTTGAATTATTCCTGTACGAATTAATCACGCTAAAGAAGTTTCATATTAATTAAAAGCCATATATATATCACAAAACAGTCGACTGATTGCTGAATGTACCTTATTGAATAACAGCCTGATGGTAAGTGTTGCCCATCATTCTCGGCAGTTTTCATCGTCAGACGTTAGGGATCGTTGAATTCTGATATTATATCGTCTTTATCCTATAAACCAATGTTAAAGCCGCAATGACGTCATTTCCACAAAACTCTTATCTTCCAACTTCCAACGCGATAAAAAATTTAAAAGTTCATAACTCAATTATATATTCAATCCAAATAACGTTAAACAGTGATTTTCTGTGTTCTGAATTGAAATTGCAATAAAAAAATAGATGTAAAAAATGTATGAACACATGTTTTTTCACAAGAATTATGTAGCCAAACCAGTCTCCGAGTCCTTATCCGTTCCTCCTCCATCACCTCCTCCTCCACTCTCAGTGATTTAGTTACACCGATCGTTCCTGCTCGTTACCTAATAACAACATTGCAGACATGGCAATTAATTCTGAAGAGAAATACATTTGAGAGTTCTTGAAATCTACATAATTAAACACCGAACATTATCATCAAACAATGGGGCAGTCCAATTACCCTTACTACTTTGTTTCCAAACCTTAATCCTTATACACACCGAAAATGATATGAAATGACCTTGGAATGCATACTAACACGTGATAAGTAACAAGACTCTCCTGGGTTATCGACGATGGTTGGAAGGGTGAATCGGGGTTAAGAACACCGGGTTTTTTAAGATAATATACAATATATTGTCTCTGTCCTTCGTAACTGCTATCACGAAAAAGTTCGGTAAGGCAAATTAGTTTGCAGACTTGGATGTACATAGAAGTACCTTGGTCACATTACAGTACGTGTCAGCCTTTTACACATTGAAAACACCATTCCATTAGAAAGACTGACGTTTTCAGCTCTATTGCCAAGTAAATGCTTGACTATTAAGATTTTAGTGGCATGTACGCTTTACATCCTACTTCTGAATGTAGGATGACCAGAAAAAATTGAAAGACATAATACTCATTGTTTCAGTCTCACAATACACTCGAAAGTAGCGGATATTTTAGGAGACCATTTTCAGTTCTCTACCAATATCAGGACTTCAAACGCAGACCTTCGAGACCTCTTGGCTCACACCTTAGGAATACCTGGAAACAATTATATCCGACTCGACACTAACTTAACACTTCGGAACCTCCCTAGGTCTGGTATTTAATGTCAGATTTCCTTTTTTTTATTTAACATCCGAGCCGTTGAGTTTATGTTTAAGTTTTGTTTTCCTGTGTCTTTATGATATAGAAGTAGAATCGTGTTAATATTACATCAAGAAGAAAATCGATATTAAGTTTTTGCTAATGTAACAATGCATTTAGGTAATAATAGTCGACTTGTTAACGACAAATATTATATACTTGTAGGATATAAGTAATGTTCCAGGCTATAACAAGATACATGGATATTCCTTCATGAAGACATATCTTAATATCAACAATAAAACTACAGTAAAATAACAAGAAACAGGAATAATTCTTTTCTCCTTTTTGTCTCTATCTACCAGCCGGATCAAATATTTGAAATCTATTTACCCTTTCCGAAGTTCCTTCTTGTACAGCAACCTGATGTATGGATTAGTTACCGACATCTCCGAGAAGCTTGGTCACAAAACCTGGCAAGAGCTAATAAAAACAAACATCTTCACGCCCTTGGGAATGACCGGATCAACGTTTATGACGACCGTTAACCGAAACAACGCTGAGGTCGCACAGGGGTATGTGGATGATTATGATACTGGAGGTATCATCCCCGTACCTGAACAGCTAAACAGGTACGTCAAATGTGGAAAACGGTGCCTTCATTGTATACGTTATTCAAATATAGCAAATATCTTAAAAAATTATTAATAATAATCTACGGCATTATTGAAGTGAATTCAACTCTAATTTCTTAAAATATCTCACTCGGCTCAAAATCAGTTGTGTGAAATATAAAACTTTTTACAAACTCTAACAGGATTTCTTGCAACATCGTACGATAATGCAAAATTATATCAGTAATCGTAACATGTTTACGTTTCACTAACTCTGTCCAGCTCAACGTATTAGCCTCAATTTACAATTATTTCTATTCTCCTACATACTTTATAAATATGACCACAAATGCTGTCTTCACAGAAACTATTTTGAACAAATATGATATTTATGTCAATTATAACTATGTTCAAGTTGTTGTTTTCAGTATTTATTAATTACGTACTAATATTCATGGTTTTCAATTAATTTTACATAACTGCATATAAAAGAATCAATGTGAATTTCGTATATGACATGCAATGCAATATGTTCTCACGGGAGTAGCAAATTGCCTTCTATTATCATGTTCATGACGACATTAACTGCCTATATATGGTTTTGGAAACCCCTATTCTGATAGTTGCTGTGTGATGCTGGATGGTGTTCAGAATAAAAAGATGCCTATACGTGTAAATATCACAGCCTTGGCTAACTTGTGTGTACAATTAAGCCTACTTGGCCGACTTAAATACGGCTAGCCACTGTTAAAGTAGTTTTAGTAATTAGCTCTGGGCGGCGTGTGAGTCTGCAACTGGAGTGGAAATTCAAGGTTACTGATAGTAAAATGTCTACATATATCACACTGGCTTTCAGACATATACACTGCAGGTTATAGTGTGCTACCAAAACTAAATACTTGAAAGAAAATAAATCTTGATTTATTCCTTGTTTTAGTACCTTGGTAATGCAGTGTCGATTTCATCCCGTCTGGGGGGTCAGTTGCGCTAAATAACTGCCTCCTTCCAAACCTTTGTTAACATTCGTAGAAATACGGAACATCATGAATTTGATACAATATAAAAAAAATCTTATTAAAGAAATATGCACGCGAAAATACGGAGTATTTTTTATTCCTTTGTTATTATATGGTGGATAGGCACTGGGGCACGCTAGCAGGATCTGGTGGTGTAATGAGTAATGCAGTGGACATGACGAAATGGATGATGTTTCATTTGAATGGAGGGAAAAACTCTGCCGGACATCAAGTAATAGATGCGCATGCGCTAGCGTCCATATATGTCCCCAGAAATGTGATTCGCAGCTCAACGGTGGGTCGCTATTTCACGAAGCCAGACGTTCCCGTGACAACAAGCGAGAATAACTACGCATTTGGTTGGAAAAATGGTTTTTATAGAGGTAAAGACTTTAAATTCATAACACGTCTTACTATAAGATTTATCATTCTCCCTTACGTAGTTGACGGAGGAAGTGAATTGCTTAGCGTATACATACGTGCGTTCTTCCCGGTGTTTTTAAGACAAAGCTTGTCTACAAGACTTATCATGAAAACCCTTGGGAGATCAATTTCATAAAGCAGTAACACGCCAACGTGATCTACACCTGGTCGTCGATTAAGTTTAAAGGTCAACTGTCACATTTTCCCATTTCCAGGAAATGCTGTGTATGCTTTAGCGATCAAAAGTTTACAATTGCTTTTGAACATCTCATAAATCTCTAGATAGATTGAGTTTATGTCCATATCATAACATCATAAAAATAATTTCGACACTTGATTCCTCAGCTAAGGTTAAAGAGTCAAGGTCGCATCAAAAACGTTTTTAAATCACATCAACTTCACACCTGATTGGATGTTGGTGATCATCAGTAAAGTACAAAGGTCAAAGGTCACACTTCATCTTTTTCGGAACATTATCTTCGAACTGATGATATGTACAGAAAATTGTTTTTATAAGACAACCAGAAACAGATTATAGTGTGACGTTTCAATGACTACACGGTCACCTTCATCTTATTACACAACCAGAAACAGACTATAGTGTGACGTTTCAATGACTACACGGTCACCTTCATCTTAAAACACAACCAGAAACAGAGTATAGTGTGACGTTTCAATGACTACACGGTCACCTTCATCTTATTACACAACCAGAAACAGATTATAGTGTGACGTTTCAATGACTACACGGTCACCTTCATCTTATAACACAACCAGAAACAGATTATAGTGTGACGTTTCAATGACTACACGGTCACCTTCATCTTATAACACAACCAGAAACAGATTATAGTGTGACGTTTCAATGACTACACGGTCACCTTCATCTTATTACACAACCAGAAACAGATTATAGTGTGACGTTTCAATGACTACACGGTCACCTTCATCTTATTACACAACCAGAAACAGATTATAGTGTGACGTTTCAATGACTACACGGTCACCTTCATCTTATTACACAACCAGAAACAGATTATAGTGTGACGTTTCAATGACTACACGGTCACCTTCATCTTATTACACAACCAGAAACAGATTATAGTGTGACGTTTCAATGACTACACGGTCACCTTCATCTTATAACACAACCAGAAACAGATTATAGTGTGACGTTTCAATGACTACACGGTCACCTTCATCTTATTACACAACCAGAAACAGATTATAGTGTGACGTTTCAATGACTACACGGTCACCTTCATCTTATAACACAACCAGAAACAGATTATAGTGTGACGTTTCAATGACTACACGGTCACCTTCATCTTATAACACAACCAGAAACAGATTATAGTGTGACGTTTCAATGACTACACGGTCACCTTCATCTTATAACACAACCAGAAACAGATTATAGTGTGACGTTTCAATGTGGTCACCTTCATCTTATAACACAACCAGTTTCAATGACTACACGGTCACCTTCATCTTATAACACAACCAGAAACAGATTATAGTGTGACGTTTCAATGACTACACGGTCACCTTCATCTTATTACACAACCAGAAACAGATTATAGTGTGACGTTTCAATGACTACACGGTCACCTTCATCTTATTACACAACCAGAAACAGATTATAGTGTGACGTTTCAATGACTACACGGTCACCTTCATCTTATAACACAACCAGAAACAGATTATAGTGTGACGTTTCAATGACTACACGGTCACCTTCATCTTATAACACAACCAGAAACAGATTATAGTGTGACGTTTCAATGACTACACGGTCACCTTCATCTTATAACACAACCAGAAACAGATTATAGTGTGACGTTTCGTTTCAATGACTACACGGTCACCTTCATCTTATTACACAACCAGAAACAGATTATAGTGTGACGTTTCAATGACTACACGGTCACCTTCATCTTATAACACAACCAGAAACAGATTATAGTGTGACGTTTCAATGACTACACGGTCACCTTCATCTTATAACACAACCAGAAACAGATTATAGATTTCAATGACTACACGGTCACCTTCATCTTATAACACAACCAGAAACAGATTATAGTGTGACGTTTCAATGACTACACGGTCACCTTCATCTTATAACACAACCAGAAACAGATTATAGTGTGACGTTTCAATGACTACACGACTACACACAACCAGAAACAGTCACCTTCATCTTATAACACAACCAGAAACAGATTATAGTGTGACGTTTCAATGACTACACGGTCACCTTCATCTTATAACACAACCAGAAACAGATTAGTGTGACGTTTCAATGACTGTGACAGATTATAGTGTGACGTTTCAATGACTACACGGTCACCTTCATCTTATTACACAACCAGAAACAGATTATAGTGTGACGTTTCAATGACTACACGGTCACCTTCATCTTATTACACAACCAGAAACAGATTATAGTACGTTTCAATGACTGACCTTCATCTTATTACACAACCAGAAACAGATTTAGTGTGACGTTTCAACCTTCATCTTATAACACAACCAGATTATAGTGTGACGTTTCAATGACTACACGGTCACCTTCATCTTATTACACAACCAGAAACAGATTATAGTGTGACGTTTCAATGACTACACGGTCACCTTCATCTTATTACTCAACCAGAAACAGATTATAGTGTGACGTTTCAATGACTACACGGTCACCTTCATCTTATAACACAACCAGAAGAAGATTTTAGTGTGACGTTTCAATGACTACACGGTCACCTTCATCTTATAACACAACCAGAAACAGATTATAGTGTGACGTTTCAATGACTACACGGTCACCTTCATCTTATAACACAACCAGAAACAGATTATAGTGTGACGTTTCAATGACTACACGGTCACCTTCATCTTATTACACAACCAGAAACAGATTATAGTGTGACGTTTCAATGACTACACGGTCACCTTCATCTATATTGAGACGTTTCAATGACTACACGGTAACCTTCAACATATAACACAACCAGAAACAGATTATAGTGTGACGTTTCAATGACTACACGGTCACCTTCATCTTATAACACAACCAGAAACAGATTATAGTGTGACGTTTCAATGACTACACGGTCACCTTCATCTTATAACACAACCAGAAACAGATTATAGTGTGACGTTTCAATGACTACACGGTCACCTTCATCTTATAACACAACCAGAAACAGATTATAGTGTGACGTTTCAATGACTACACGGTCACCTTCATCTTATTACACAACCAGAAACAGATTATAGTGTGACGTTTCAATGACTACACGGTCACCTTCATCTTATTACACAACCAGAAACAGATTATAGTGTGACGTTTCAATGACTACACGGTCACCTTCATCTTATAACACAACCAGAAACAGATTATAGTGTGACGTTTCAATGACTACACGGTCACCTTCATCTTATAACACAACCAGAAACAGATTATAGTGTGACGTTTCAATGACTACACGGTCACCTTCATCTTATAACACAACCAGAAACAGATTATAGTGTGACGTTTCAATGACTACACGGTCACCTTCATCTTATAACACAACCAGAAACAGATTATAGTGTGACGTTTCAATGACTACACGGTCACCTTCGTTTCATCTTATTCAACACAACCAGAAACAGATTATAGTGTGACGTTTCAATGACTACACGGTCACCTTCATCTTATCACAACCAGAAAAGTGTGATTATAACACAACCAGAAACAGATTATAGTGTGACGTTTCAATGACTACACGGTCACCTTCATCTTATAACACAACCAGAAACACGTTTCAATGATTCATCTTATAACACAACCAGAAACAGTGTGTGACGTTTCAATGACTACACGGTCACCTTCATCTTATAACACAACCAGAAACAGATTATAGTGTGACGTTTCAATGACTACACGGTCACCTTCATCTTATAACACAACCAGAAACAGATTATAGTGTGACGTTTCAATGACTACACGGTCACCTTAGATTATAGTGTGACGTTTCAATGACTACACGGTCACCTTCATCTTATAACACAACCAGAAACAGATTATAGTGTGACGTTTCAATGACTACACGGTCACCTTCATCTTATAACACAACCAGAAACAGATTATAGTGTGACGTTTCAATGACTACACGGTCACCTTCATCTTATAACACAACCAGAAACAGATTATAGTGTGACGTTTCAATGACTACACGGTCACCTTCATCTTATTACACAACCAGAAACAGATTATAGTGTGACGTTTCAATGACTACACGGTCACCTTCATCTTATAACACAACCAGAAACAGATTATAGTGTGACGTTTCAATGACTACACGGTCACCTTCATCTTATAACACAACCAGAAACAGATTATAGTGTGACGTTTCAATGACTACACGGTCACCTTCATCTTATTACACAACCAGAAACAGATTATAGTGTGACGTTTCAATGACTACACGGTCACCTTCATCTTATTACACAACCAGAAACAGATTATAGTGTGACGTTTCAATGACTACACGGTCACCTTCATCTTATTACACAACCAGAAACAGATTATAGTGTGACGTTTCAATGACTACACGGTCACCTTCATCTTATAACACAACCAGAAACAGATTATAGTGTGACGTTTCAATGACTACACGGTCACCTTCATCTTATTACACAACCAGAAACAGACTATAGTGTGACGTTTCAATGACTACACGGTCGCCTTCATCTTCAAACACAACCAGAAACAGACTATAGTGTGACGTTTCAATGACTACACGGTCACCTTCATCTTATAACACAATCAGTAGAAGATTAGAGTGTGACGTTCCGATGACTACACGGTCATGTTCATCTTAACACAACCAGTAGAAGATTTTAGTGTGACGTTTCAATGACTACACGGTCTCCTTCATCTTATAACTCAACCAACAGAAGATTTTAGTGTGACGTTTCAATGACTACACGGTCACCTTCATCTTATTACACAACCAGAAACAGATTATAGTGTGACGTTTCGATGACTACACGGTCACCTTCATCTGATAACACAGCCAGAAGAAGATTTTAGTGTGACGTTCCGATAACTACACGGTAATCATCTTATAACACAACCGGAATAATATCTTTCCTATAAATACCATCAAAAGCATCACATTCACCTGTGAGTAAGAAATCGATGGCACTTTGTCAATCCTTGACACCTTTCTAGTAAAGACAGATTACGGTACTATCAAAGAATTGGTCTATAGGAAAAGATGCACACAGACTAATACCTCAACTTCTGATCGCACCTCCCCTTACATCAAACATTTGGAGATCCTGATTTGGCAATCCAAAGCCTTACCAACTTATTTAGTGAAAGCAAAGGAAAGACAGGAGACGAAACACCAAGCAAACGAACAAAATAAAAGGATAGGCAGTCATCCCTGACATCTAAGGCCTGTTAGAAACTATTCAGAGGATTTACCGTGGTCATAACTTTAATGAACATCAGAAAAGACATTGAATCTTTAGGCAAAATATTCACCAGATCAGAGCGTAAGCATTCTCAGACCCCAATCAATAAATCGACACTTGCAGTGCATTGTTACCATCCTGTGTACTTTTTCTATAATCTGTTTACAATCTCGTCACACTATTTTCGATCTATTGGTTGTGTTATAAATATTTGTATTCTAGTCACATTTGACAACTTTTTAAACAGTGTAGAAAGCTTGTGTAAAAGATAGCACATTAAAACCTTAACAGATTCTGTTGCACATAAAACGATCACAGTGTTAAGGATATATACGTGATTACATTCTACTGTCTTAATTTCTTGTACGAAATACTCATTTTATTTTTGCGAAAGATTCGAAACGTCTTTGAAGTTACAAGTATATTTATTTTCAATTTTTACTCAAAGATCTTGCGATGAAAATAATATAATTTATAAAAATAATTTATTGCATATACACTCTCGTGTTGTATTTTTTTTTTTTTTTTTTTTCATGTTTCACGATGTCTAAAAAAATAACAGAGGTCAATTATTTATCTTCATGTTTTAGACACACACCTCTATAAACAACCAAAATTAAATGTAAAAAGCAATGATCTAAACATTTTCGACACTATAAGTGAGAGTAGCCAGTTTAAAACAGCTATTTGTGAGTTAATGAACGCTAGGTGTAAGTTATCAAACAGTAAAACGTCCCCGAAAGGTACTTTAAAGATGGAGATGGTCATTTGTGACGGTCTAATCGTTTTAGAGCACAAGGTATGCTCTCAACAATGACGCTGTTTGGTTGATGTATTCCACATTTACAAGTATATTCTCTCTTTACGGAGTTTGTTATGATACTAGAATCACATTTATTATCCGTAAGGGATACAAGGATTTTGATATATGACCCAACAGTTAGCAGTATTGTTTCCCTCTTATTCGGTGAAGTTTTTAAAAATGCTTTTATTAGTATCGTTTCAGTAAAGTTTACATATTCATTATAGATTTTATTAGGATAATACCGAGGCAAACAAATTAGCTCCTAATGTCTATATTAAATTATCATTGGGTATACATAGATAGTCAGGTGATCGTCTCAGATTTGGAATTGCCATACACTTTATTCATTTCAAGTATATTACAGGAATTACGAAACAAACCAGTAACTTATATTGTCACTCAAAGCACCTACGGGATCGTTCTGTAAAAATTACAGAACCAAATAAACATCCCCTTGATCCCGCAGGTGATCTCGTACCTTTTCACGTCGGATAGGGAAATATCCTGGTCGCCCATAGGTGAAATACGAGTGCTTTACCACTGCGCCACCAGACTTCCAAAATATGCCCCAGACTTCGCTGATTTTCATCTAGATGTTACAACTTACGTCTGTGTCTGTATCGCTTTAACGGTACTTCTAACGTTGTCACGGTTTACAGACTTAAACATCGTCACACTTTCCTCATACCCGGGTATTTCTCCTACCTCTATACGTGTTACTGCATTTTACCAATTCAGCTGGTATACTTTGCAACATAAAGTGACAAGCTTAAGTGTGCTGCTCAATGATGAATACTCGGGGGACGGTGGTGTATTAAAATCACGGATCGTCATGTACCCTTCATGGCTGTATATGTTGGACAAGACATTTTCCGCTCAATATTTGTCTTGGATACCATCACCATCTGCATGTTGTTCTGTGAGGCAGCTACTAAAACGAGAACCCGCCTCAAAACGGCCTTGGCTGTTCACGGGGATAGATTAAACAAACCAACCAATTAACTGTTGCATTTCATTCTAATTTTAGGGTACCCAACTCTTAGGCATACGGGAAGTACATTCGGATACTCCTCGCTCCTGACGTTGATACCAAATATGGACATAGGCATATTTATTACAATGACGGGATCAGATCATGATTACTTGTTCCGAACAGTGCTAGAAAATTATCTGGCCGATATGGCACTTGGCGAGACCCCGTGGCTGAACGCCACCACAATGTGCACCTTTCCGGAACCGTGGATGCGAAAACACCCCACTACACACCATCCAATAATGAAGAATTTGCCTTTGCACCGATCGGTGGCATCATACATAGGAACTTATCATAACGAAGCATATGGAAATCTATATGTCCACAACTTAGCTGGAAATCACACACAGCTTAATATGCAGGTCGGAATAGGAAACTGGAAGCTCTTTCCTACACAAACTGTGGACCATTTCAGTGGTGAAGGGGAGGGAATTCTTTATAAAATAAAGGACTTGAGAAACATCCAGTTTCATTTAAATTCGCACCAATCAAGAATCTACAGCGTTGAAGTTCCTGGATTTGAATCGCATGCTCCGCCCGTCTTCATCAAAGCTACATCTGATACTTCGGGGTTACTTATCGGGTAATTGATTAAACGTCATTACTTTTAATCATACTTGTAGTTTTGTTTTAAGTTCTGATTATGTGTCCGTGGGTATAACATCTACATTTCATTTACATAAACACGAACTTCATTGAAGATTATTTTCATCAAGCAACGTCCATCGCATAACGAACATATACATTGTATATATAAGTTACTGGTTAGAAAAGGGAATTAAAGTCAGTCTTTTACAACTTGAATTTGAAAACGTAACAAGAAAATAAATACATCAAAGACAAGTTAACAGGTATTAATGATATATCACATTAACAACAACTTACACTCAACTCCTCCGATAGTATTTCGCATTAATCAAAGCAGAACCGTCATTTCCCACGCTCGTAGTCTCTGCTGGATATACCCAGTGTTAACATCTAGCTTCGTGAAACGATATTAAATCTAGAATAGTAGAATAGTATATGATACATATATGACAGTATCAACCTAGATTTACTTCAGGACAAACCTACGGAAGGTCGATTGTGACATCGGGAAGTTTTAATTACACAATGGTGCCATATATAGCACCTGTGTTTGAAGTGAAAACAATTTATCATGCAAAAACGTATCATTTCATACAAAATGAAATCTATTTTTGCATGTTTGAATATTTCTTCAGTAAAGGTTTCTAATAATACAACCGTGTATCTTAAATCGATTTAGTGACATATATAATTATTTGGTTGTACTCTTGGCATACACGTTTTAATTTTACATAAAATAAGAAACTATAGCTGTGGTTTTATTTCATTTTGTAATCACATTCTCGAGCAGCAATCCAAGTGGTTGATAACTCTTGATATTACCCTTCAGGTATTGTAGATAATATCATCGTAACGTTCTACCCAGGTATTGTAGATAATATCATCGTAACGTTCTACCCAGGTATTGTAGATAATATCATTGTAACGTTCTACCCAGGTATTGTAGATAATATCATCGTAACGTTCTACCCAGGTATTGTAGATAATATCATTGTAATGTTCTACCCAGGTACTACTACCTATCAATGAGTCTATTGTAAATATAGCGCTCAGACAGACTGTAGGGGCCTGTACTATAACTACATGCTGTAAAGGGGTATAGAGAGATGCATCGCCCTCAGAAAACATAGCATAGTGTTCAGTCAGACTTTAGGGGCCTGTACTATAACTACATGCTGTAAAACAATACAGATTGATTCACCACCGTCAGAAACGTCGCCGGTATTGGCCAAATATTGTTCAAATATTAAATCTCTACATTTTCAAATGTTAATTAAATACAAATTACAAAAACGGGCATTTTGATATTTAACACTCAAATCACTGTACATGCTGTACATGTATGTTATCAATGATAAGTAGCAAGGACATAATTTCCTAACATGGAGACCGAAATATCTGGATAATATAACGAAGAAATTTACACATATTTTTCAAAGCATTCGCAGTGACTGGTTGTTTAAAATAGTTCTGAATATTTCACAATACAAGGGAAGTTAATGTAGTATCTTTATATATTTCACTTTTAAATCAATCACATAATTTCCTTGAAGCATTTATCATAGTGGGTGGCCGGGTGGCGCAGTGGTAACGCACTCGCCTTTCACCTAGCCGACCGGGGTTCGATTCCCTGACGTGAAAAGGTAAGAGGTCACCTGCCCGACCACGTGGGTTTTCCCCGGGTACTCCGGTTTCCTCCCACAATAAGACCCCTACAATAGGATCCCTCGCGCGCTTACATCCGGGCCAACAAGAGCGATTAGTATAAGTTGACATAACCTGTGTCACAATTGTTGTAAAATAAATAAAGTTTATATTTATATAAGTATTTATCACACAATGTAGATATACATGTACTGTCTACCATGTACTTTCATCAATGAGATATTTCACTGGCAAAAATGTAATAAAAAAGGACATGATACGACAGACCAGTTAACTTTTTATGTGATGAATTACATTTCTGAGACAAGAAACAGAACGTTTCCAAGCCAAGGTGTATATGATAAGAGCTTTATTGAATAAATAGAGTTTTGGTAATTCAAAATGAACGATACTTCAAGCTAAAATTTGCGGACAACTTCCGTTATATGCAATACTCTTGAAAACCAGACAATTAATTTCTACATTTCAGTTGCATTACAATATCACGTGACCACCTCGCTATATTGTCAGAACTCAGTAAAGCTACGTTTAATGTAATTTATTTCTTATAACTCCTGATTAAAAGTTATGTATTTTCAGGATACTAAGAGTTTTCCGATACAGAAAGTTATAATACGGTGTAGTCATAAAGCGTAGAGTAAGTTCCCCTGTGTTACAAATAAAATTACAGTTGATAACAGAAACACACAATTTACAGTTCAGAATGTTGTGATATGTTGACTGCTTTTGTAGTAAGATCGAATAGTCCATTTTAACTTTTATTAGCATATTTACCTCAACTACAGAATCTAAATATATATGGTTATAATTGTTTGGTACCCGCCACTATGCTACACGAATGTAAATCATTATGATAAAGTTAGGTATTTTATAATTCCGTGTGAAATGAGTGATGATGAACAAAAAATAATGCGAGTTGTCTTTCTTGGTTCAATACACAAATGTATATTGCAGCGATTAAGAAACCAACACAAAAATATACTTTTGTCTTTCATTGATAAAAAGTCAAAGCTGTACAGCCCCACAGGTACATAATAGTCAGATATGATTATATGTTTGACATCACGGTCTTCATTCATGAAATTATTACCAAAGATCAGTACTTCCATTGTGTAGGTTGAATTGATGCAGAACTTTCAGATTTAACCAAATGTTTCAATTCTTGATATGAAAGACTCTGACGCTGAATAAAACTAATTCGTTCACCAAATGCCAAATATAATAGAAATTTGTCAATAATTATAAGATGTGCTTTTAAATTCGTCTTTTTTGTTTTGCAGAACAGACAAATCGACGCAAATGTCTAGTTTCTGACATATGATTTTGTTGTATCATTAAATACACATTGTAAAGCGTTTAATTATATAACAAATTGTTCGTCATGTTAAATTCAATTCATACATGATTGACGCATAATCCAGTTAGAATATCTGTCTAATACTTTTCTGCTGATTGCCCCTCTTGGGGATATTTGGAAAAAGACATATTAGTAAAATATTCTATGGACAGACATACTGATCTGTACCTTGAAAAAATGTTTGACAGTAAGTCGAATGTTTAATTTATGATAGATCGCTTATTACTTAGGTTGACAATTTTAGAAATAGTAGTGGAAATTATCTGACCTCAGTAATACCACTGATATCTTTTAACCACATACATGTAACATCTTGATGTATTACTCTTCAAAAATACAAAATTACGATCATCAATGTGATAATAAAGTTTTCCAAGACTGAAAATCTGAGTTCTAATTCAATACCGAGGAAAACTGCAAGCTAGGAAAATGAATAAAGACAAACACACGTTTGAAAAAAGTAGCACGAGAGTTCTACATACATACATATATAAGGCCGATCTTTAAAAAGTTTAAGTTTACAAATATAGATAGTCAAATGAGTTAGGCTCGTTTCACAAATCTATTAGGTATATAGTCACTTGGACTTTGAAACATCGAAGTTTGACTGTATTATGTGAGAGCGGTGTGTGTTTTTCCTGCATCAACAATGACCGATAGATCAGAAATATACACAACGCTTATGAAATCAACTTGATAAACGAAATATATTTATACACATTGCATGCATTGTATAAATGATCTGAAAAGAGATAAGACAACGACAGGAGTCTTGGCCGACCAATATAGGGACGACATGGCTGGCTATAACTGGTTGTTGTTGTCTGTGGGATGTCTGTTCCTCGTTTACCAGTTAACACTATGTCAACACTCATTTGAAAACACCGTAGACCATGTCCTGAGGAAGGTGAGGATATGTCTAATCTAATATGCAAATCTCTAAATTGTGTATGAATAGATTGCCAGAAAAACCGATATGTTTACAAAACCATTACCCCAACACTGGATGTGATAAGAAGACGACAAAATGATAACAAAAATTTACGCGTGAATATTAAAATGATATAAGGCTGATTTGTAAATATTCAATTCGCCTAAAGGCAGAGTATCGCCGCGGGAAATCGTATCGTTTATTATTATTATCAATTGATATTTTCTATCCACATGCACACTTCTGCAGTATGCATCACATCTTGTGATATATTCAACAAAATGATTATTGTGTATGCAAAATAACTATTTTTGAAGTATGGCGAAATATATCACTGGATTAAAACACTGGTATATCCTCTGCTATTCCTGTATGTTGACTACATTAAACTATTCATTGGAATTAGGAAGGAATGTTGAATATCACACATGATAGCATCGTTGAATTAACTCACACGTTTGGTATTTTTGACAGATACATACCATGCATACTGACAATAATTAAAAATTGAATATTAAATGTCTGTCTATAGTCGTTTTAGATTTCCGAACTTACTGAGTATATACCGCAGTGTACTTGTTGTTTGCGTTGTATTATATCAAGCACTCATTTTGACAGCATGGCATTACTTGGATAGACCTAGAGGATGATAACGAAGAAGCAGACGCTTACACTAACCATTTTTCAAAATTCTTTATGGACATATTATTGATTTGTAGTCTGAATGTGTTTAATTGTATCTATACACGTAGCTTTTCTTATGCATCGACAATCCTAGCATTGTTATATCCGTTGCCAGGTTCTCCAGTGTCGCCCGACACACCCTGGTTTAACTGTTAGCGTCGTAAGAGGCGGCCATGTTCTATTGTCTAAAGGGTATGGGGTAAGGAACAAAACTACCCACCAGCCCGTTACCAACACAACGCTTTTCGCCCTTGGCTCGATCAGTAAAGCGTTTGCCGCTACTCTGTTGATGAAGCAGATTACAAAGCACAAGTAAGATTCAGATGCTGTTTTCACCTTATTGTTGTGTTGTATCAATATTACAATAGAGGAAGATATGTAGAGTATTAAGTTTTATACTTCAAACTAGTTTGCAAGGTTTACCGTCCAGTACCCTTTCGTTCTTTATTCCAACGATTCAAGGTTCGAAGAAATTGTATGAATGAAAGCTATCTTATTACAATCAGCACATGTTTGCTTGTGGAAGGAGGTACTTACAGTTTTGTCGTAATTTGTCGTAACGACCTTTCTTTCTTTTTGGCTTCAGTCTAACCATATATTCAAAAGTGGCCGATATCCTTGGAAATGGTTTCCAGTTTTCTACCAATCTCCGAACAGAATATGCTGCTATCAGAGATCTGTTGTCCCACACCATGGGCTTTCCCCGTCACAACATGATTCATCTCGACCCAAAATTAACACTACAAACATTGCCAGGGTATATACTGTAATAAACCGTTATATAAACATAAAACATAACAATGTAGATTGATATGTGGATCAGATCTATATTAAATATATTTGAATATAGTGCAGTTACTGCAGAATAAGATTTTGATATTGACGTATGTATGAATGGAGCGTTATGAAAGGCCAACTTGAAATATATGTCAAAGGAATTTTTTTCGAATTCAATTTTTTACATACATTTTCCGGTTAAAAATTTAGTTTTATACTTATAATGTACTGAATCTTTAGCTTACTTGTGTCTTGATTTACATTTAAAAGAATATCTTGTTATAACAATGAATCTTTTTAATGACAGTCGTATGAAATATCTGAAATCGAACTACCCTTTCCAAAGCACGTATGAATACAACAATTTAATGTACGGGCTTGTCTCTGCTATATCGGAAAAGCTTGGGAGAACGTCTTGGGAGGACCTTGTCCACCATAATCTATATACACCTTTGGGGATGACATCCTCGTCCTTCCTTTCAAGAGTTGACCTTTCAAAGTCAAAGGTCGCGCAAGGATATGTTACCGCCCCAACTACAGGGCATAGCCACGCTATACCATTCGATTTACTCAGGTAAATGTTTTAGTAACACCTGTTGTTGAGTATGGTTTAACTGAATATTGTTCTACATAAATTTCTGGTGAATTTCTATTGTATTTTTGTGTGATCAAAAACTTCTAGATGAAGTAGATATTGGTTATCGTTCCTGAACATTTATTGTTTACTCTTCCTGTACTTTCTTAGGAGCATATGTGTTAATTTTTCTTTTGTTCATATTTTGTTCTAGTTGTATTGAATTTGAGTTTGGATTATGTTGATACGTTGGTATTTTGTTGTTTTTCTACAAAATTTGAAAGAAAATCTAGTATATTTATAAATTAATATTATTGTATAGTCATTTTCACCTGAGTGTACCTTATTCTATAACCTATAACAGGACGTGACACCAAATTCTTATTACTTTTCTATTTCATTTTAGAGCTTGGAGCAATATGCCGGGTGCAATAGGGATTATGAGTAACGCCGATGACATGACAAAATGGATGAGGTTTCACCTTAGTCAAGGAAAAAGCGTATCTGGGACACGAGTCATAGACAGTGATGTACTGTCCACCATTTACTATCCCCGGAATCCTATCCGGAGGTCCTCCATCGCCAAATACTTCAGCAAGCCTAAGGTGCCAGTCACTACTACCGAGTACAGCTACGCATTTGGATGGCGAAACGGCTATTATCGAGGTAAAACTGTCCAATGATATTGAATTAAAATAACATAATCTATTTCGATAAACCATTTTCGGTTTAGTTGTACATTGAAACATCCTTTGCTTTATGCTTTATTTTCTAAAAGAATTGACTTATCGTATGATTATGATTTTTCTTCAAAATTAATTGGACCATAGATTCTATAAAGTTGCTATTATTGACGGGTTTCCCTTCCTCGAGAACAGAATTAACTCACGAGAAACAGAGAGTGTGTAGAACTAATAGAAGAGAAACCGAAGCATGTTTTATGATTTCCGTGAAAAATAGACAACAGTTGCTTCATTCTTGGGAGACAACTGCAAAATTATAGTCAACTAATAATAATACCTGCATTTAACATTGTAAAAAAGACCTAGTTTCATGTATATACCGTAGATCAATTAATTGATGGATAAAGCAGCATTATACTGCTATTTCGTCTGTTTACGGCTTGTCAGTGATGTCAAGAGACAACATTTTGAAGCCTCGGAGGAAATTAAGAAAATCGAAAACTAATCGAAAGGAATATCAAAATGTAAAGCTGCGTTAAATTTTCAACTGCCATTTTGGGCTATCATGAAATTCTAATTTTGTGGCTTTTAAGTAATGCATTTCTACAATAAAAATTAAAGTGGATTTCAGTCAGTTATCATCTCTCACAGAATTTATATTCTATTTTTTTATATATTATAGGCCAACTTGAAACTTATGTTAAAGGAATTGGTTTCCCCTACATGTACCAGTTTAATTAGATAATGGTTATATTACGACAGGTTATCCCATACTCCGCCACACTGGAACTATTTCGGGCTATTCGTCTCTGCTAACACTTATCCCAAACTCTGATATAGGAATATTCACATCCATGACTGGATCTGACCCACATTACATTCTTAGAACGTTACTTCATAACTACTTGGCTGACGTCGCCCTCGGAGAATCTCCTTGGTTAAACGAGACAACCCTCTGTACCTTTCCTGAACCATGGATGAGGGAGCACAACTCATTGTCTCCTGCAATAGAAACGGACAATCCGTTCCACCGTAACGTCAATCAGTATGCCGGTACATACCACAACGACCTGTATGGAACAATAACTCTGCATGTGTCGACTCCCAACAACCATTTAGTGATGCAATATGGCATCGCAAGCTGGTTTCTTTATCCAAAGCGTACTGCCGACAGTTTCAGTGGGAAGGGCCATGGACTGGCAGCTGTCGTTTACGATCTAGAATCCATCGTCTTCAACACTGCAGGTCATAGTACGATCCATAACATGATAATATCCAGTTTCGAATCGTCTGATCCTCCTGTGTTCACCAAGACCTCGTCTCATTCAACGTCACACAATGGCCCTATCATTGGTTAGATATTTATGTTTCTTAGAGAAACGATTAAATTAGTTCATCATTTGAAATATGTCATGTTATTGAAAATGAAGTAATATATCAAAATCTATTTTTAGTCCATTGATACGACGGTACAATTAAGGAATGTTAAAACTAAATATAGACACAAAACCAGCGTATTTACATCATTTAGCTGATACCATTTGAAGATTGTCATCTGCAAATGACGCTTAAAAATATCAAAAAAAAAAAAAAAAAAAAAATGAACAACAGATTAATAAGAATATCGTGTTTTATGGAAATCAAATTCGGATATGGCGACATTTCGAACTTGCTGACATTGTGGTGAAGAAACACATTCAATCAATCATTGCCAGTATTTCCATGTGAATGGTCATTTCATCCAAAATAGTGGTTAAAAAGTAATTGTGGGTAGGCTTAAACACTATCGTAATTGTGTCATTCAGACTTCGGGGTGAATCTACTGATTTAAATACTTATTACTTATTGTAAGTTTTCATCAATGGTCGGCGAAAATAGCTTCCCATAGCACCTACAGTCAACAAGTTTTATCCATTAGATTGTGTTACGTCAGCCGACTTAATCGTGATTATGAAAACACTTATTGGTTACTTCATGCGTAACTTTGAAATTTCTACGAACACATCAGGATTTAAGATTGAGTCAAAATGTTTGGGTGTTACCCTATCGTAAAATTGTTGTTTGTCAAAGGGAAACACAGCGTGCCCACCATTTGTTGACATCGTTACCACATCGGGGGGAAATTCCGTCTTAACTATCTTAATTATCTAGAATACCAGTATTCTATAATCTATACTAAAAACTGATAATATGATATGCATAGCAAATTTTAATTATACCTGATGTTATTTAGTAAAGGTAAAAAAAAAAATCAGTTAAACGGAGTTATATTCATGTAAAATTGATCTGCGCAATACCGGAAATGAAAAATGTACACACACGTAATGGAGAAGGAACAAGTGTGTAAGAGAAAGCATGGGGGTTCTACCTTCTACAATGAGTAAAATAATATCACAATAGTTCATAATAATATATACGAAGGAGGTAAGGAGAGAACACAAAACTATATTGTATCTTAATATTTATATAAAAATTATCTAAATGAACCTGAAACACTGTTATTTAGATATTTCGAATCCATTACATAACACAGCAGAAATGCGGAATTTTATATTGAGTTTATTATAACATAACTATTATGAGAAAGAAACGGAAATGGATATCACTTACAAATAAAAACAAATTTGGAATTGAACATTGACATAAATGTAACATAGATATTATGAAAAAGAAATAAAAACATGTATCACTTAAACTATATTAACAAATAAAACCCTTGCTGGAATTCAACGTACATTTAGCTAAGACAGGATAAAATAAAAACAGATATCATATTAAATTCATTGGCAAATAAAAGCAAATTCTTAACTAAACATTGACTTTGCATAGCTAACATAAGAATGAAGTAAAACAGATATGCACATGCAACAATATACTGGCAAATAAAAGTAAACTCGGAAATGAAGTTTGACATAGATTAGTCATTATGACAATAAAATATTACATATACCACTGACAATAGATTGACAGCGAATACGGAGTTTTACAACAAGGTAGGACTGAGCTTTGTAATAAGTGATAAAAACTTCATCAGAAACAAGCTAATGTTACTCATGCAGAACGACTAACATGCGATAACAACTTTGGTAACAATAAGTTATTTACGTTGCAGCTTCGAAATGACAAAATGTCATACACGATCTATTTTCATGGTTTACGTATGTAAAAAGAGGCTGACTGCTTTCCCAATGAATTTTGTGCCTGGCACTCGTACAAACCATAGGCTTGATTAGAATTGAATTTTAACATAACCATCAGTAAATGCTTTTGTCCCTTTACCGCATGCGCTTGCTCTGCAATATCATAAAGTAAATGGTGTGTATTTACCGCCTGAACTCCACTCTCTGCATGATGTGTTATGAAGGGTTCACCATTTAATGACCATACACTGTAGTTGTACGGTCTCGTATCGACTGAACAATGCAATCTTATTCGGTCTGTAATATTTGCTGCAAAACTGTTTTCAGTTCCGTTGAAATCTATCTCATGCCAATCAGTGTCTTCACTTGAGCGCTTCGAGATTTCCAGGTCAACTTTCGGTGAATCTGAAATACATTGTATGTATTTGCGGACGTCTGAAAACGTGTTAATGCAACGTCAATATGCTAATTGCATATGTTTCATATTTAATCTGAGCTGGTATTAACAACAATAAACGTATAGACAATAAGCAACACAAGAAGACTGATTTATCCCTAAACAAATAAACGAGGGATGAAGTATTATCAACAACTTACAATTGATGGTTAGGTTTATTTCCTTCTTGGCTGTCATATCCTGATACTTAGCAAAGTCCATCAAGCAGTAATATCGCCACGGACACTCCCTGGAAATATTTCTTATCTCCAGCTTTGGTCCAAAAATTCCAATTTCTGCAAGAAGGCAGTCATTGCTTAAAATTTCACACTGGCATGATTACATGCTTAAGAAACATGGAGCACATACCTTGTATCAGAAAGAATAAAAGAATACTTAGTTTTCCAAAAGATTATACACTACTCGCGTTTTGCTCATGATCAGTTTATTTTTCAAGCATATATGTAAGCAAAAATATTTTATTTGGTTCTTCTTTTAATTCATCAGGATATCAAAGTTTTAGGAATCACGATGACCATCAAAAATAAGCAAAAGCAAAAGTGTTTGGAAGACTAACATATTCTCACAATGTAGAAGAGAAAGACAATTTTCAGGTTTCAATAGGGTGTTCTCCGCATTTGAAGTATGTTGAATTATACCTGTATGTACCGTTTAGTTTTGTATATACTGTGTATGTTGAAATTGTTCTTTCATGACGCGACACCGGCATCTACTTATCTCTAAGTACCCCCCCTCCCCCCTCCCCCCTCCACCTCCTTCGTATCTACCTGTAGGGGTTTCCTGGTTGAAGTAGGTATACCATGATATCGTTGGTTTGGGTTCACCTGTCACGTTACACCACATACTCACGTTTCCGGTTTCATTAACTTCCATTGTCGGTCCACTAAAGCTACCGTTATGTATTCTAGTGGCGACAGGTTCTAAATAGAAATACAAAATAAAAGCATTCGCAATTTTATATAAATCAGGTACATTATGTTCGTAAATTAAGGATTTTATGAGTTTTGCTGACAAAAACAAAAATAAAAAACAAAAGCAAAAATAAAAAAAAGACGACGTGAACATACTTTGTATGTATTATTATCGGAATGGTGTAATGATTTACTAAATTTATCAATAGGTTCAGATATTAATCAATTCCAACATGTCATTGTGGCAATCTACTGAAAGTAGGTAATTCATTTAACGGCTATGAGTACGTTAGGTTTGTGTTAATTATTCGTGTTTGACATATAGGACAAAATGATTAAATGTTGAAAGCAATGTAGATATAGCTTTGATTTCAAGTCATGAATGATTTGACTGACACTTTAGTCTAGATAACAAACCTATAACTACGAGTCTGTAGGAGACAATTGGTGTCCTCTCTCCTGTATTTGACCGACACACATACGAGTTACTATCCTCAGTTCCAGTGTCAGACAATACCATCAATTGCTCATCGTCGTCATCATTTCTGAACGTAAATCGATCATCAGATCACCACACACCACACCACAAACACACATACCACCACACACATACCACCATACACCACCACACATGTATACCACCACAACCACACACACCTTCACACATACACCACCACACACACACACACACACACACACACCACCACCATCATCACCACCACCACCACAACCACACACACATATCACCACCACAACCACACACATACCACACACATACCACTACACACACACACACACACACACACACACACACACACACACACACACAACCACACACACACAACCACACACACACACACACACACACACAACCACACACACACACATACACACACACCACACACACACTCACACACATACACACACACACACACACACACACACACCACACACACACACACACACACACACACACACACACACACACACACACACACACACACACACACACACACACACACACACACACACACACACACACACACACACACACACACACACACATAAGAAACCCTCACTTGCACAGATACACACATATACACCACACACACACACACACACACACACACACACACACACACACACACACACACACACACACACACACACACACACACACATACCATCACCACCACACACATACCACACACACACACACACACACACACACACACACACACACACACACACACACACACACACACACACACACACACACACACACACACACACACACACACACACACACACACACACACACACACACACACACACACACACACACACACACACACACACACACACACACACACACACACACACACACACACACACACACACACACACACACACACACACACACACACACACACACACACACACACACACACACACACACACACACACACACACACACACACACACACACACACACACACACACACACACACACACACACACACACACACACACACACACACACACACACACATACACACAAACACACACACACACACACACACACATACACACACACACACACACACACACACACACACACACACACACACACACACACACACACACACACACACACACACACACACACACACACACACACACACACACACACACCACACACACACACACACACACACACACACACACACACACACACACACACACACACACACACACACACACACACACACACACACACACACACACACACACACACACACACACACACACACACACACACACACACACACACACACACACACACACACACACACACACACACACACACACACACACACACACACACACACACACACACACACACACACACACACACACACACACACACACACACACACACACACACACACACACACACACACACACACACACACACACACACACACACACACACACACACACACACACACACACACACACACACACACACACACACACACACACACACACACACACACACACACACACACACACACACACACACACACACACACACACACACACACACACACACACACACACACACACACACACACACACACACACACACACACACACACACACACACACACACACACACACACACACACACACACACACACACACACACACACACACACACACACACACACACACACACACACACACACACACACACACACACACACACACACACACACACACACACACACACACACACACACACACACACACACACACACACACACACACACACACACACACACACACACACACACACACACACACACACACACACACACACACACACACACACACACACACACACACACACACACACACACACACACACACACACACACACACACACACACACACACACACACACACACACACACACACACACACACACACACACACACACACACACACACACACACACACACACACACACACACACACACACACACACACACACACACACACACACACACACACACACACACACACACACACACACACACACACACACACACACACACACACACACACACACACACACACACACACACACACACACACACACACACACACACACACACACACACACACACACACACACACACACACACACACACACACACACACACACACACACACACACACACACACACACACACACACACACACACACACACACACACACACACACACACACACACACACACACACACACACACACACACACACACACACACACACACACACACACACACACACACACACACACACACACACACACACACACACACACACACACACACACACACACACACACACACACACACACACACACACACACACACACACACACACACACACACACACACACACACACACACACACACACACACACACACACACACACACACACACACACACACACACACACACACACACACACACACACACACACACACACACACACACACACACACACACACACACACACACACACACACACACACACACACACACACACACACACACACACACACACACACACACACACACACACACACACACACACACACACACACACACACACACACACACACACACACACACACACACACACACACACACCACACACACACACACACACACACACACACACACACACACACACACACACACACACACACACACACACACACACACACACACACACACACACACACACACACACACACACACACACACACACACACACACACACACACACACACACACACACACACACACACACACACACACACACACACACACACACACACACACACACACACACACACACACACACACACACACACACACACCACACACACACACACACACACACACACACACACACACACACACACACACACACACACACACACACACACACACACACACACACACACACACACACACACACACACACACACACACACACACACACACACACACACACACACACACACACACACACACACACACACACACACACACACACACACACACACACACACACACACACACACACACACACACACACACACACACACACACACACACACACACACACACACACACACACACACACACACACACACACACACACACACACACACACACACACACACACACACACACACACACACACACACACACACACACACACACACACACACACACACACACACACACACACACACACACACACACACACACACACACACACACACACACACACACACACACACACACACACACACACACACACACACACACACACACACACACACACACACACACACACACACACACACACACACACACACACACACACACAACCACCACACACACACACACACACACACACACACACACACACACACACACACACACACACACACACACACACACACACACACACACACACACACACACACACACACACACACACACACACACACACACACACACACACACACACACACACACACACACACACACACACACACACACACACACACACACACACACACACACACACACACACACACACACACACACACACACACACACACACACACACACACACACACACACACACACACACACACACACACACACACACACACACACACACACACACACACACACACACACACACACACACACACACACACACACACACACACACACACACACCACACACACACACACACACACACACACACACACACACACACACACACACACACACACACACACACACACACACACACACACCACACACACACACACACACACACACACACACACACACACACACACACACACACACCCACACACACACACACCACACACACACCACACACACACACACACACATACCACCACACACATACCACCATACACACCCCACCACCACACACCACCACCATCACCATACACACCACACACATACCACCATACACACGGAAAATAGCCATGTCCCCAATCTGTACGTCTACAACAAGATTTCACATCGACATCCGTTCGGAAAAATCGTATACATGTACAAAGTCATACAATTTTGTGATTCATTTCTATATTCATAATAAAACTTTGAAACAAAGGGATATTTTGTTATTTAACTGTAATACTATATGATACAGAGATGCAAAGAATTAATTCAAATGTTTTATAGTATGAAATATTTATACACAGGAATAAGAGAAAAATTACAAATGTTTTATGGTATGAAATATTTGTACACAGGGATATTTGTAAACATGACTATTGTTTTCATGGTATTAAACAGGTCGTATAAAAGAATACATGTTAAATTGGAAATTTTTTGTGGTATAAAATAGTAGCATACAGAGTAAAGCATTATAATACTAAAATGATATGAAAATGTAATGTAAACAGAAATACATACACTGTTCTTTTATCTCATACAACAAGCAAGGTGGTAATGTCATAGTCATCAGTATGAAAACGGTAAGCACAACGCATTGCATATCGCTTGTTAACTGAAATAAAAGTATTATAGTGTTTTCTTATCATGAAGGCACAACGCAGTAAAACGATGCAGTTATAATATCTGCTAACAATAACACTTGTTGATACAGTTGTACTTGGTTCCCTAATATCAGTATTACCTCAATACACAATGGTAGCATAGCAATTCTATCATTGATTCGATCAGTACAACATTATCACTTATTAAGTTTATACTCACCATGGTTAGACACAAATTATTTCAAGTTATACTAGAAAATCATCCCCAACAGCCAAGTGTACATATACTCACACAATAATTGCGTGATACTTCACGGACATCCGTATTCGTGCAACTAGGCAAAGGGTTATACACAAGAAAGATATCTGTAACAAGTTTCCATCAGTGTTCACTTAATGTACATGTATGTGTCAAATATACGCTCAAACTACAGTCTTTTTTCCACATCTACTCGTACATATTGAGTACAACAGTCTGTAAATAATATTTAGTATTGATAATAATCTTTCTAATACCTAATTAAACACACTAATTGTTATACTACTTAACGAGCTGATTAATTGTAACAGTTCCTTTCTGTATGACAATTTCTATACAGAGAAAATAAAGAACCTGTATGTCTGTCCGTCTGTCTGTCTGCAGAACAAGTTTGTGTACATGTACTGTTCCAAAGGGAGCAAATGTATTCTGCTTCATTGGTCCATCGAAGTCAAAAATGTTATGTTACCAAGTAAACAACAATGGAGCCACCGGTATACTTAAAGTATCAAACAGCTTTATTTAGCATCAAGAAATCGAATATTTCTCGATCATACAAGTGTTACGACCGTAAAAGTATCCTGCAACCTTCATCAACCTGGATTTCTAGAAATCCTGTATTGTGCGTTTGTCTGTTAGTTGCCAGCATAATAGACAAAAGAACAATTCTAGTAGCAGGCCCACCACGAATTAGCAAATATGTATGACGTCATGTCGACAATTCAATGACAACATGTCAACACTTCGATAACTCCGCGCAATCATTGTCGACGGCAACCATTTGGAAAATATTCTTCACTCGGCAAGTACTTTGACGTCAGGGTCAGCTGACGGTAATACACACTCACATTAGAGTATCGAGCAAAACTATGTTTGACAATCAAGTAAAAAACTTCCTTATTTACATAACAGTTTTATGGAAAAAAATCATTTTTTTTTCTTTTATATTTGCTATCCTTGTCCACCGTTTCGTATCGTGAAAGGTCTCAGTTCCGTCGGTCCTTAGTTCACTTTATCATAATTGCTCTGGATAGCATTCGACAGGTATCCCGTATGTTGTTCAGCTAGGTAGTCCCCAGCTACTTCAAAGGGGCCCTGCATCAAAATGACACTAGATATCATTGGCGCCATAGTATATATATCAACTTGTTTGTTAATTTCAATATAGATATATATTAATATTTTTTTGTGAAGGTTTTGATGTTGCTTGATTTTCTGTAAACCGGAATAAAATATCAATGATAAACGGAAATGACAATCTATTCTGTTGGTCTAGATAAGAGTCAACACTAATAGAACAATGAAATATTCGTTTGTTATTTTACTGTCACAAGTAGCTAGCTTTGTGGAGATTAATGTGATATTTTTTAGTATATTAAATTCTGGGTGGCCATGCCGCTTGGATGGTTCCCTCTCTCCCTTAATAATTACAAACAAGCCTCACTTAGTAGTATCACTATTGATTTGTGCATGCCTTGTATCTCTTGCAATGGGAAATTATTATCATAATTTTGTGGTATACATGTAGTTGTAAATTGTTATATTGTCAATTATTGTTTTTCTCACCAAAGTTATTGGTATGGTTTATTTTTGTGAATTAAATGTGCCCAACCTTTATTCACGTTTTGTCTTCTTGTTGCCTTCAGCAAAGTATTTTGATCATGATAAAACCGAGCTCTTATCACGTGATGAGAAATCCCACATCGGACACACATCTCGGTGTACTAAAAATCTGAATTTCCGAAAGTTACTGTTTAGTGATATTGTATGACCGACGACCGATAGATAATTGTCGAAATGTTGATGTTCGGCGCTTAGCTGAAGCTCTTAGTCAACCGATCTCCTGGGCCTTGAGTGTATACACGACCGGAAATGTGTCAACAGAAAATGCTTCATCACGAATGACTGCTATAATGTGTTATATATGTTTACATTGGCTGTGTATTTTGACAACACTTAACAATGTGTATCATCCACAAAGGCACATTAAAACAACGTAATAGATAACAATGATCTAAAAAAAACATGAGAGGTTTATATTGACTTCTGGTTCTTATTTCTTTTGTTTCTACAAACCACATTAATATATTTCAATTCATGTCTAACGACGTAGCAGACTCTTAAAATGAGTCCATCTCCTGAAGTGTCTTGATTTTGTTAATAGATCAATGTACAACCACGTGTATTGACTGAACACTAAGGGTACTAAGTGTTGTCGTGGATACCATATCATAAATACCTTTGTTTCTCCCTGCTTTTCAGTTTTATTGTTTTTATAGCAAATTCAGAACATTTATGTTTTACTCTGCTGGATGAGATGTCACATTTCTTTGTATACCTTGCTTCCTTAGGGATGTTGTTGTATCAATCAGGTAAGGCATATATGTTATAGTATTATTACTATACCAACTACCAACTGAAACTTTAAAATCCCGAATGGAATATTACAGGAAAGGTCTTCGTCGAGATATCAGTAGATAAATGGAACTTATGACATATATTGATGAATCATGACAAAACAATGGTATCGTTTATGTGTTAAAAACGCAGGACAACAACAAGAAAATGATGACAAAATTAGGATTTATTATATGATACATAATTATGACAATACAACTGGTATTGTTTTAACTCTTGTTGGTGGCGATTACCTGTTGTTCCATGTTATTCCATAGAAAATCCAGACAAAATACCGTTCTCCAGCTGTGAATCAATTTACTATAACGCATTTGTAGGAATTCTATACATATCTAGCTACATCGATTTACAAATAATTCTTCTGATTCCGCCACAACACGTTTGTACCTGCGCACTTCACTATTAACAAATTTGGTGCCTTCTCTGATCCAGACCTTATTATGTAGCTTATAGCGATGTTTCCTATATTTCAATATCTATTTGTTTTATAGGCATGGAAGATATCATTCTATACAAATAAGATGAGAGAAATTGGTCATTTCAAGTTGACTTACCTAGTTGTATCTGCCAGAATAGGAAATGGTGCTTCTAGTTTTTCGTTATCAAAGTCATCACGCGATAAATTTGCTATATTTAGGCGGTCTAATATTTAATTGACCAGTGATATGGCCATCAATTTCATTTATCCGAACTGACCACGGGAAAAATATTTTGATGCTGACAAAACAAGTCATTTGGAAAGGTTCCTAATGGTACAGAAATTCAAGAAATTAACAATAGTTCTCCTTTAATTAATACTTATGTTTGTTTTGGCTCATTCAGGTTGTCCATTGGTTGGATCACATGAAGAGAGTCATTCACGACGGGCGGATGTTGATCGACATTCGATGTCTGATGGTGGTGACTTCGAACGCAAATCACCAGTAAAACATTCCTCTGTCGATAAGACGGCAAAAACGTCTATAGGCATCAATACAACAAAAATTAAATTTCAAACTTCAGGAGTACACATTCAGTACAACAAAATAAATTCTAGTCGTACTGACCTACCAACAAACATGACGGAAGTATATACACTCATCAAACAGAAAGGAATGCCAGAACACATTACAAAATCTAGTCAAATCAAATTCTCGGTGAACACTAAATTGACGGAACGACCTGCTACAACCATACGTCCTGTTTGTAGGCCTGATTCATGTGGTAAACGAGGATTACCAGGACTACCATGCTCAAATGGAAAGTGTACAGACACATTAAAAAGTAAATGCTATTGTGATATATTATGTGCAATCTTTGGTGATTGCTGTTCAGACACTGTATACGTCATCCCCAGGCAAACATTACAGATGATGATTTATCATCGCTTTAACTGGAAAAGTTGGTTCCGTAATAATGAAAATTTTGATTTGATATCTATATACATAAAATGGAGTACATGTATACCTATACGTAACGGAACAAACGTTTTAGCAATACGTGTAATATCCAAATGTCCTTACAGTGCACTTGCATCCAATATTTCTGTCTCAGATTATCAGCTGTTTCCACTATGTGGCTATTCTCTCCATCTTCCTTTCGTGTCTCTGAAAAAGCATGTAAACGTAGAGGATAAGAAAATTCAGATTGTTTTCAAAAATAAGTACTGTGCTCATTGCCATGGTTTCACCGACCGGCAAGTGGTACCCTGGACGACAACTTTAGGACACCGTTTAAGTAAGCGTTACTATTTTCCGCCTTTATTACCAGGTATGATAAGGAAATGTGACGTTACTGCTTATGTTGGAACTAAATTCTCTGAATGTCAACACGATACTTACAATTTTAGTTTAAAAACGCTATGCAGTTTGAACATTTTTCCAGCTCTCATTGACTTCAACGGAAGAATTGTGAACACTTCTCAGTTGATTCATTTCAATGAAACGCAGAAATCGGAAGAGTGTGAAACCCTTTATTTTGAATATAGTGAACCCCATCACAGTATGTTTGGTCCCTCCCTGCCACAAGAGAACGGACTTGTGTTAGACTCACTTTTCAGCTTTTACAATTATCCTCACGTAGATACTGTTACAAAACACACATCAATACAAAGTTCTCTGAATCATTATCACATAGAATATCCTATCGATAAGTGTCCGCTTGGATTTTATAAAACAGGTAACACATGTAGTAAAGAACCTGTCTCGAAGAACAGTACATCCGGGTTTGGTATCATATTGAAAGTAAAAACACTCTCACATTCCCAGCACATGTCATGTGATTCAATCATCACTGAGATGTTGAATATTTCTTTCATTAACTGTACAGCGGAAACTGACAAAACTGAAAATATTTTAAGATTAAATTTAAAGGATCAGAATAGACTTATTCGCGTGATTGATGTTGCTAACGAAATATTCCTAAATACCAATGCTGAAATCAAAATAAGCGACACTTTTAAGACAAAAGTATCAGATTGCCATACATACGTCATGCTGAATAAAGTACGCTTGAAGGACATTAATAATAGTCTTTTCGTAACTAGTAACAGAAGTTCTGATCTGATACCATTTCCGTTTTCACACTTTATTTTGCATATTGATATCAACAAAAATGCTTCAAATATGACACTGTCATATTGTTCTGCTGAACCACCACCAGCGCTGAATTGTTCTAACGTACAAGCGTTTTCTCTTTCTCAGCATACAGCTCACAATGACACAATTCGTCTTCATAGATTTAATGAAAGTGAACACGAGAATTTTAACCAATACACAATACAGAACCATACCCTTTTGGTTTGTATAGAAAGCAGTCGTTACCAATATGACTATGCTTATCTAGCATCATACATAAGTAACATATGCATGTCTTTTTCAATCATATTTCTTATCCTTTTGATATATTACCATTTTGTTATCCCACGACTGCTGAACCTACACGGAAAGATTGTGGTATGCTTCGCAATTTCATTAAGTACTGCTCAACTCACTGATGTGATAACCGCGTTAATGCATATTGATAAAGACTATACATTACGTATCGTACTTTTTCCTTATATATGTCAGGTTCTAGGTGTACTTCATCACTATTCGTGGATTTGTGCGTTTGTTTGGAGTGCCGTTATGTCCTACGATATATGTCGTAGGTTCAGTGTGTGTTCTTCATTACATCAACAGATGGATCCGGACAAAGGACAAAGTCGCTTTAAGAAATACCTCCTAGTTGCAGTTTTGTTACCATTTGTGATAGTATCAACGGCGTACATAATTGGTAAGCTCTCAAATGATTTTTATCTAGGCTATGGAGACAATTTACAATGCACAGTATACACATTTGAAGGCAAGCTATATGCTTTTGACATTCCGTTATTGGTAATATATGTATTCAGCATCGTATGTTTTGTCATAACACTGCATGGAATGGAATATGCAAGACGGATGGGAAAACATTTATGTTATACTCAAAAACGGTACAAACGACACTGTTTAGCATACGCTAAGATAACTTTGATGGTTGGTGTCACGTGGTTGATTGCAGTAATGGCTGTTTTTACCGGATCGCTTTTGATTGGCTTTTTCAGCTTGTTCGTTAACGGCTTACAAGGAATGTTCGTGTTTATAGGGTTTATATTAAATGTTCAAGTAAGGAAGGTGATTTTGGCCAGATATCGTTGTCACTGCGCCATGCCGACGCAGAGCAACAACTACGCCTTATATAGTACCCAGATATCGTCACAGTGATTTGTCACTCCCATTTGGTATCGATGCAATTTGAAATCGCATCTCGCGCTAATTGTTGCAGCTTATCTGCTGTATATATGTATAACGGCAGCTATGAACATGATAATCCAGCTATTAAAATGTACATCACATGATTCTTTGTGTTGTCTTTTCTTTAAACAATTTTATTTATTTATCTATTTACTTATATATATTTCTATCTTTTGTTGTTCCTGTGAGTTCCGTCCGTTCATTTTGAGAAGAACGTTTAACAATTTCCGCTCATTCAAAGTGATAAACGCAAGTGATCATTTAATCAATTACCTGCCTGATTTTTCAGGAGACAAGAATAGCATTGTAACACTCTGAATTCAAGAAGGCAAATAACGAAATATGAATCTTGTGTAATTCGAAATATCGATGATCTATTCTAAATACATGTCCCATCCATTTTACCGTTGCACACTTTCATAAATGACCTTCTGCTAAATGTGTGTCGGTGCAGTTGTCTTTATGTGTTGTCTCCAAATGTAGACTGAAGCGATCGCACTGTTAACAAAAAATTACTACTTTTTCAAATTCACTTCCAGATTTATGGGTAACAACAATAAAAAGGATTGATTTATGCATTCATTTTCAAAATAATCTTCTCTTCTTCTCCTGCCTTGTCGTAACTCCGTATTTGATGCGATAATCCAGGGCTTGTAACAATTCTCCCGATCTTCCTGTTATTATTGACTGCTGATGGACAAACAATACATGTTTTTAGCAGATTGTTGAAAGACCAGAAGATAAATAATTTAGTTTTCTTTCTTTTCCTCAATATCTATTACGATATTGAAATTTGATATCCCATATCCTCTCTGCCAACATTATTACTTGATTTCCATCTTAACGTGCTTAGCTCCTCTCATCATTTCAGATGAAGTGTTTTTTTCCTTTAAAAAACACCTATCGGATTATTTCTTGAAAACGTTGTAAACTTTCAGCATGATGTGTCTTTTTAATGCAGTTTGATATCTTATGATTAATTTTGTAAAATGTGTTTTTGTTCTTAACCGTAAACTGTTTATCATTAATCTTGTGATATATATTTAAATTTCTGATTTTATTCAGGATTTTGTGTTATATATGAAATGTCGAAAGACATTGTGAACTATATTATAAAAAACGCTCATACAATTACAGACAGCATGAATGTCAATATGTTTGTCTAATAAACAACGTTAGACGGAATTCACAGATGAAATTATTTCTCTTTAGAGAATAGATACGATTAATAATAAATTGATCTGTACAAAATTACTAGGATTAATTCTTGGAGTATAATTGATTTTACATAATAAGTTCATGTCTTACACAGGGCTATAAGACTGCGGCCATTTCCATTTAATCAGTGTCTGAGTTCGTTAGATATTATATGTGTGCTTCATCAATATTGACAATTGTACAGACGTGGTTATGCAAACAAAGTAATCACCCATTATCGCGACAAGTAAATGTATATAACATCACTAGGGCAACTGTACTGCAAGGATGAAAGACCATATGGATTGGTTTCTGTTAGTGCTTTTCAAGTTTGTTTTGAGTGGTATGTAAACATTTCTTTATGTGTTATTATCTAAACATGTATTACACGTAGAGAACTGTATATAGTTTTCTATGCTTTTATTGTTACTAAATATCCTTAAATTGTTTGTTTATGGTTAATAACGATTAAGATGCCAAGGTTACTTTATAGTTTTTCATTTTCATTTTCAATAGATTTTGATAAAAGTAATGAACCGAATGTCATTTTTATAATTAATGATAAACTAAACCGAATAGAAAATAAAGTGGTCATCTCACTACTCTTTTTTGTAAATCCTGTTCAAATACTCAATTTATTCAATCATATGGCAAGGGTCCACTTAATTATCAGTTTATATTCGTATATTTTTTACTCTGGATTGTGATTTCTATAACTCGCCTTCTAGAACACACTATGCCTGCAGCATCACTGGCGAGTTGTACGATTAAATGTAGGCTAATCGAATTTGAAAATAAATCAATTTGAGAATTGAGAAAATTTTATGCAATTTTTACTAAATTACTAGTTTGTCGGTTGGGTCTGTTGTTGTATACCTTGTTCTCGTTTGAGAACATGATATTACTTACTTGGATTGACCAAAGTTTACATGTGTCGTCGATGAAGCAGAAGACACTTACTCTTCTGGAACACCTGGACCTATTCTCCTTGTACCTTTTCAGGACTCTCCGTGTAAATCTTTCTTTTGTTCATACTTTGCACTAGTTTTATGGAATATGAGTTTGAATTATGATTACGTTGTCATGCCAGTACTTTCTTGATAATCTGAAAGCAAGCATTCTGAATCATTGCCTCAAATGAGATTTGATTACAGATCGTAAGCCCACGACTGGGGCAGTGCGACCTGAAACATATATTGGTGACATATAATATAAGTCCAACTAATCATTCTGCATTTAATATATCCATGAATATTGAAAGATACTACTAAAGTGCAGAATGATTTGCGTTTGTTTTTTAAAGGTAAATTCACA